TTTTAATACTGATAATTCGCTTTAATCCTCAGATATTCTTCAGGAACCGATCTGAAATGCTGCATTGTATGGCACATCTTGATACTTATCAGATATCTGTTCCAGAATTTTTAGTATTTAATCGGGAAAAATTGTCCTGATTTTAGTAGTAGCCCCCGGAACGATGGTTTTGTGCTTCTTATTGTGTATCGATTTCCTGGTGTTTAGAAACAGAAGACAACCACTATTGTGCGCTAAACAACCTTTGGTTCTGGAGCGGAGTCAAATGTTGAGCTTCATTCTTCAAATCCAATTTTCGTGGAATATATATCTTATTTTTCTGTAAACAGTCTGCAATTTCTCTACGTCTGCTCTTCGTAGATTGATGTTGACTACTGGGCAGTACTCTGTTGTTCCGAACACTCATGCTTTATTGTACCGAACCCGTCACTTGGTGAGACAGCAATATCGACAGATATATCTTAAAGCTCTGGTGGCTTTTGGTACCTGAACGGCACATTGCTCTGAAAAGTTAGACGTAGTCAAATATCGCACAAACAACCTTACGTTTCGAGTGGTTTCTTGCATACAGAATGTGACTGCTTCTGCTTCGCAATTGTAAGCCAGCGCATTCCTTTTGTTGTTAGTTAAAGACGCTTGCCACATGCTGTACCGAGACTCAAGTGCTGAGAGATCATACTGAGTGCGTCGCACCACAACTTTCTGCATAGACAACTTTAAGCTACTCAACAAGATGGGATGCAGTCCCGTTCTTTATACTCTGATGTACCTAATTTGCGTAGGTGAGCAAGAGTAACGGGCCGCGGATGCATTCTTAACTTACACCACTGGTGACTGTCTTGGGATCTGAAAAGCTGTTTCTTATGATAACCATTAAGGCACAGGAACTCCGATACTAGTAGTTTTAATCTTGCTGAGTAACCTCTGGTGAGACACTATCGATAATTGTTTGCATGTCCAAGCATGACGCTACCTATTAGCTGTTTTCGTGCGGTTTCGAAAAACTATCTCAGGTTGCACGGAATCTACTCTACAAGAATTTATGCTGCGTCTCAGTGATGATATCTTCTGTGCCGAAAAATCTAAGCAATACGTTTTTAGTAAGTATCTGCATGACTGTTTAGATTCTGGGCGTATGATTAACGGGACGAAAATCCCTGACCTTATGAGTATATGTCCGTTTTTGTACCCTATTATAACAGTTGTGGACCTCTACTGTACAGGATATAATGATTTCTTGAGCGTCAGGGTGAATGTGTTAGTCATTATGTAATTGAATCATTTTCACTATTTTTAGCAGGTAAAGCGATTTTGTCTGGTCCTGCGTTGGACCAGGAGCTATATCATGAGGATTCTGTTGTTAACTTTGTAGTAGTGAATTAATTGTTGCATATTTGTTCCCCTTCTCTTCGGGGTTATTACCACTAGTTGGCCAAGGAATTTATTTGCCATGGATTCAGTAAAAATATGCGTTTAAAGCCTCGTATATGGCTTCTGGCGCATCTGTAATTTCCATCCGTCATGGTGATGTGGTCGAAAGGGCTATTGTGGAGCGTGGCGCGACCACGAAATTGTTTTGGTAGACCAGTTAATTTGAATGTGCTGTTCAAGGCTTTGCGTTCCTCCACAATGAGGCTCCTCATTTACTGCAGAAATAACAAAGCCATCTGCTTTCTTCCTGAACCTTCATCGAGTCTTTTGAAACCTACGCGCAATCTCTGAAGAATTGCACTCGTGCCTTTGTCTTTTGAGACGGACATATTTCAATGGGGCAATTATATCACTAAATAAAACAAATCCTTTACCTCTTCTGGACTGGAGAAGAGATGGCGGAATGAGCTCCAATTTACTAGTCGAGACGGACGATACTGTGTAATGTGTCGCACGACAGTCGAAACAGCATTTGACCACCTGGTGATCACTTCTAGGGAAGTGTACAAGTAGAATAGTGTTTATTACGGGTAGACGAAAGTAACTGAGATCAAGAACATTAACACTAGTAGGTTTAGGACACGCTGTTGCCATTCTTTCATCTGCTTACAAGAGCAGAGTTTGGAACCTCTGTAGTGTTGTGTGCATTGTTAGCTTATTGATGGAAGGTCGAAATCACCTACTAAAAGTTTCTGTTTGAACAGCAGACATGTTGCGCATTCGAATGCGAGCGTCGAAGTTGCTAGCTCCGCCTGCTTTTTTCATGCTACCCTGTATCCCGCTAATAATTGTTGCATGACAAGCCATAGTGATGCATCAACGTTCATCAGTACTGGATGTTTAAACGTTGTTGCGGGCAACGATTGTTTCATATAGATTATGCAGCTATCACTCCGACGTATTGGACGGTTTTTCATGAACTTCTCGTATCCTGATATTGACATTTGATCATCGGATATGTCATCGCTGCACTACCTAAGGATCTGACACTATAACAACTAGGCGAAGTATGTGAAATCTATATTGAAGCGAATGGATGCTACACAAAAAGTTGAAAACAACTTAATGTATAATACTCATGTGTAGATTTTATTATAATCAATTGAGGGTTCATCGTAGCCAATTTCCAATCAGATTGTCGTCCACATGCCTGAAAAAGCACTAGATTGTAGTTTCAGCCTGTTGGGCATCCTCAGTAGTGCTCATCCATCGGATTCATCAGGATATAAATCCATGACTACCAGCGGCTTGCACCGCCAGTCAGCAGCTTATTCCTCTGGGCCACGGGGGACAGCTTCGGACCGTCTTGATTTATAAGCTGACTGCGACACGCGGATTATCTGGTCTCAATTATGAAGTGCGTCTCAGTTTAATCGGAATGTTTTCCTCCGAATACCGAAGACTACGCGGAGATCTCATTCTCGCATACCGGATATTAACGGAAAGCGATCACCCGTGCAAATCGCTGCTCACCCTAGCCTCATATAAGCGATCGAGAGGTCATAACCTCAAGCTGATAATCCAACACTCCCGATTAGACTGTAGAAAATATTTTTACTCTCTTAGAATCTGTTCACAATGGAATGACTTGCCAACGCATGTGGTAAATGCTCCGAACATTACAGCCTTCAAACAATTGTTAGACATTCATCTGAGTGACAAACAACACATTGTGGTGTGATGTACCAGGTTTAGACTATTGGCATTTCAGTTCCATGTCGGAATCTAATGATTTTTATCTATTTGCATTTACCATCCTATGGGTCTTGTAAAGCCAGTGCTTTTTATCCCATCATACACTATTGAACTATTAAAGCATTTTATTCTCAATTTATTATATCAATATCTCCTCATGAATACATCAAAACATATCCGCCCTAGCATTTTCTAAATAATATGTCTTACATAGTTCTGTCATTGGGATTCGTGTCTTTCGAGGCCGACCCTGTCCCCTGCAACATTCGTAACTTGCATGGCTGTGGAGAATAAGATGCGCTAACTCGCAGTTAGCTTATACATCACGACGGTCCGAAGCTGCCCCGTGGCCCATTGGCATAAGCTGCTGATTGGCGGTGCAAGCCGCTGGTGGTCATGGGTTCGCATCTTGATGGATCTGGTGGGTGCGCACTACTGATGATGCCCAACAGGTTAAAACTGCAGGCTAGTGCTTTTCCGGGCATGTGGACAACTATCTGATTTGGAACTGGCTGCGACGAACCTTCATTGCTGTGCTGAAAGCCGTAAATGTGCACCTAAGCTATGAATTGTGCATTGTCGTGATTGCAGTGCAATGAGGGATATGGACCATCATTGGGGGAACTGCAGCTGAGCATGGTCCTCTGGCAATTAGTGATAGGAAGTGAGTTTATGTTGTGCTTTATGAAGGGACGTTAGTATTAGACTAAAACCTTCCACCGATATCACTCGGTGGGCGTGTTTTAGCAGGTTGCATTGACTGTAACCTGCCACCTGTGGAATAAGTATTCAAAAGCCGTTAGCTATTGTCTGTGGGTAGCTGATGTTAGCGTCGCTGAAAATGGATGTTTAAGCCTAGCGGATGCACTGCGTATTTCCACTAGTAGTGGAGGTACACGCGCGTCAAAGCATGGCAAATGTGGAGCCGGATGCGACCAAAGTCTAGCTGCACCAAACCTCGGACACACAGGTATGATTATCAACCTCTATCGTTCCGGCAGGTATCTGTTGTCAGTTTGTTATCCATCTAATCTGTAATAAGGTATTTTCGCGAGGATGCAGTACATGAATCTCAGCGCATGTTCTCCTCCATTACTACGGACGTATTGTGTCTGCTGAGAGTTCTTTAATGCACGTTATCGTATACACCAGGCGTCAAAGGACAGTTTGATGTTTGGATAGATAATCTAGTCAATTACTGGAGCTGCGTTTCAAAAGCACCTGATTTGCCACAAGACACATGGCTGCCTCTACAGTCATACGTACCCGGATCAAAAACAGATATACAACTCTTGTTAGTTGGGAACTGGCTCCACGAATCCCAGTTGCTCGTTAGGTTGCAGTTTTCACTCTTTGTTGATACAGTATGACAGACTGCAAAATTGGCGTATTGCATGTACTTGCATTGTGCCTGCTGAATCGTTAAGCTTCACGCTACTGCTTTTCGACTTCCGTTTTAGACAATAGTTTGTTAGCTGCATTGACTTGTGCTTTCATTTTTAGAGATCACTTCAGGCAACACCCAAATTTTATTTTTGATTGAGCTGTTAGAAGCTCGCGTTCCTTCGAAATTCCACTGCTGAATTATTATCTGTGACCAGTTGAGCCGCTGCCTCTTCGCGGCAACTTTTACGATCGTAGCTTTATACTATCATCCATAATTGCTTGTTTAGCAGTTCAGACTATGCTTTCGGAGGCGCAGATGTGCGATAACATCACGTCCTGTAGCTTCTTTAGTCAGGCCTGCCGCATCACTGCCCACCGTTTACTCACATAGGTTGTGGTTTTAATCAGACGACTTGACGCATTTCTTTTTATCGTCGATTTATCTGAACCAGCTTTTTGTTCATATCTACCCCTGCTGTTAACACCAGATTTTTGCCTCAAGAGCCATGGGTTTCATGGCTTGGATTATTCCCATCTTTGTCGGCGCGTCTGTGTTTGGTAGCATAAACGGGGAGATCCTATCTTTGTCTAGGTGAGTTTCTACGCATTGTTCTGTATTTACTAAGCTATAGTTACTCATATCTCTTGCACATCAGCATCATTATTTTCATCCGCTTTCACTGAATAAACTTGCCGTAGGATTTACCGGCTTTACATTTACGTATATTTAACCTGGTTACATCACTTTACTGATGCACGATGCGTTCCACAAGTTGTAACCGTGAACATTATTTACCGACCTAAACTTCTGGTAACCGGCTGATTAATGGCGTGGAGTATGCAGGCGAAACAGCTCTGCTCAGAGACTCAGTGCTTACAAACATGTTGTGTCTGACAAGCGTCACAACCTTTCAGACGATAGCACGAAGCACCTTGTTGAGTTTTATTTGTATTCCTCTGCTTTTAACCATAACTCACGTATATAGTGGATGAACATACCCGGATTTTTTGTTTATTTTAGTCTTCGCGGGGAAATCACAGAATTTTATGTTAGCACGGCTGATATTTTGCGGGATTTTCGATTTTTGTCGCAGAAAGATGTTTTACCACCGTCGGAAACTGCTTTTAGTTAGGCGGTGTGCGGTTTTAGCTTTGGGTGGTGTAGTGCAAGTCACCCATGGTCCTCTGTAGGAGCGGGCGTCCTGTGACTATTCGAAGTTACAGTTACAGTGAAGACCAGAAACGGATGCCGGCTATCTAGAATATTTTGTCGTTGTCGTCGGCCGGTGGCCGAAAGAACACGGCATCTGCGTTGCACCCCCGACGTCACCAGTTCGAGCCTGTGTTGGGGCCTGGGTGACCATCACAATGTCCTTAGACCACACGCAACTGGTAGTGATTGCGTACTAGCGAAGTTTCGGTGCGACGTCCTGATCTAATGCTTAAATTTTCTGCTTGGTCGTCGCTGTAAAGCTCTATATGTGAATACAATATATGCGTGCTTGCAACTCTCCGTTTCTGTTGACTTTGTCTAGAAGGTTCCGGCGTCACATTGAAATTCTCCACTTTGTGCATGGGCGCTGCACCAGCTTAACTCACATCGCATTGATGCACCCTACAGGAACACTAAGGTCCGACACAGTGTTGTGCGATAGACCATGGGTGTGGTGGTGAGATGCCACACCGAGCATGCGGCTTGTTTATTGCACGGTCGTGATTAATGATTTGGTACCAAAAGTCCGAAAGCCGGTCGATCGCTGCAGAGGCGAACTGAAGGATAGTAGGCAATCGAATTGGATCGACATGAACGAAACTCGAACGCTGATCAGGAATGTAATAACAAGAAAATGTGTTCTACATCAGGGAGTGATTCTACTTGACTCGAGATATAAAATGAGCTTGTGTTCTATGAATAATAGATTTCTGATCGAGGCCCAGTTTGATTTTTTGATTCACGATGGGCCACATGACATGGTGACAGAAGTGCTGACGTACCACACCCCACTTGCCTTTGGTGCACAAACGTTAATTCCATTGTCGCATCCTCTAAAAATGATAGAATGCACATAACCGGGTAACTGGAGGGCGTGGAAAGCGAAATGGATGGATTTCGTTACATTGCTCGAGTTAGACGAATATCCAAGATCATATCAAATAGCGATCTTCAGGTACAGCATCAGTGAAGATGCGAGACAGATATTAGAAGTCTGGAATTTCCGCGATTACGACCAAGAACCGGATCTTTCAGAAATAATCGAGTGGTTTGGTGATTTTTGTGAAGTCTGATCAAACCTTTTCGCTCGCTGCTGACGATTGGCTAACGTTAGCTCACTTAATATTCAAAGTCGGCAAGAAAAGCAAGAGATTTTACTAGATAACAACAGATGGGATAGCGAAGTACATATGTGGACTATTGCGACACCGTCAATTCAAGGACGATCAGTACCTTTAAGGCTTGACTCAAGAGCCACCGTGAGTACACTGTTCAACAAACACTGCATCAGCGTGGAGTGCACTTTAACACGGAGTTATCACAAAGAGTTGAACAAATTGATTATACATCCGAAAGCAAAGGCTATAGCGAAGGTTTACTAGAACGCACAGCATCGACTTATCAGACTCAGAAAGACGCATGCGAATCATTATGTAATGCTATTTGGAAAAAATAGCCCTAGAAAATTCGGCAACAGTCCGGTGCAGTTTCTATTCAAGCACAAAGCAAACCGAAGGCTCGCCCACAGTAAAAGAGGCTACGGAAACTGCAACTCACGAACTACGAAAACAAGAAAAAAGTATGGATGTGGTGGTAAGATGCCACACCGAGCATGCGGCTTGTTTATCGAACAGTCGTGATTTGGTACCAAAAGTCCGAAAGCCGGTCGATCGCTGCAGAGGCGAACTGAAGGATAGTAGGCAATCGAATTGGATCGACATGGACGAAACTCGAACGCTGATCACGAATGCAATAACCAGAAAATGTGTTCTACATCAGGGAGTGATTCTGCTTGAGTCGAGATATAAAATGAGCTTGTGTTCTATGAATAACAGCTTTCTGATCGAGACCTAGACTTTGATTTTTTGATTCACAGAGGGCCACATGACAATGGGGTGCCGCACTGTATTGTCCGTTGAGCCCGGGTCACCTACAGTAGTTACCACATACCCCACATATTCTCTTTAATCCTCTGCCTCTGCTTCTGTTTCCATCGCAGCAGCTAGTTGAGTGTGTCCACTTTGTGGCCAGCGACTACGTGGCGAAACTGTGCGATGCTATTTAGTGATGTACGTCTTTGTTTCTTTTTCACTAACTGTTGATTCAGAATCGATCAAAATACGGACTAGGCACCATACACGTTACAGCCGCAGGTTAAAGTGCACTACTGGTTTCAGTCTCGAACGCACAGCCGGTAATTTCTTAAATCAAATACGTTCACTTGAATTTTTCGGAGACGTGATCATTGACCATTCAATGCAGGGAATGGCAGCTAAATCCACCGCAATTCGGATGATAATGGCTGAACTGAACAGACCAGATCCGTGCAGGCTGATGATAGACTAGTCATTTTCACTTGCTTTTTTCCATACACTCTCCTGCTTTGCAGTGTGAATCAGCATGATCTATCACAATCACCAAAACCATACACATTTTCTTGCTATTTTCAAACGGTACGTTGCACTCTCTTGAATGTTTGTTGCTTCTAGCATGCGGCTTTTGTCTCGTCATATCGATATATCTATGTTCATACTCCCATGATTGGCGGCATCCGATTCCGAATGTGCCTGTCACTGCAGCCTCTATAGGATATTCACAAGACGCCTGCGCCAACAGAGGGATCATGGGTGGCTTGCGCCGCACTATTCGCAGCTCCATCCACACACCCCATATCCAGTGCAAACCCGAAGGAATAAAACCGTGAGGCATGTGGATGGGAGCCACGTTTCATCAACGGAGCCAGTCCAAACTCCTTCGACAAGCAGAGCTTAGTCATTTATGCCTAATTGGGAAATCACGCGTACCAGACCTACACTAGGCTGTGGCTGGGTCGTAACCCGTTTCACACTGGATGCTTGGAACCACTCAATGAGCCTAGTAGTCACGAGGACTGTGCACCCCGTCCAGCAACGACCATCTGTCTCCTGGAGCCAGTATAGAGATAGGTAGGCACCTTGTCAACATTCACATCAAGTGCAGCCACACCGGGGATATCAATGGACAACCAACCCCTGAGATGCAAGGTAATCAACCTGCAGTCACACGTACGGGCCAACTGCAACAACGATGCGACACACGTACCACATCAACCACCTGATTGGCCTGCCTTACTAAATCGAATGAATGTGGACGCAGCGCACCTACCAATCGCTGCGCTGCTTTTGCCTAGGTAATCAGCTGACTCGTCCTCTTTTGGATGCTGACTCCAGGTGGCAACGCTGGTAGCTTACCAGCCTCGCTTGGCTCAGGCATTCGCGACCACGTGTGCTACAGCACCATGCGTTCGACGTCGATGGGGTAGACTCCATCGGCGCGTGTCGCTTCCGTACCTAGTGTTTCTACCCCGCATGTAACAGTGATATCTGCTGCACCTCGGCGACCGCCGTCTTCATCAGCTCACGCGATTCGCGACCATCAACTGCCTTTTACCCTCAGCACCTGAAATCAACATAACTTCGTGATAAACTCACCTTGATCATGTCCTGTTAACGTAACTTCGGTTTTTCCACATGCCGCTTCCTTGCACTAAGTTTTCCATATAAGAGCTGCGACTGATATTCCATAGCCCTCAGGTTCCGCAGCAGAAGTATGCAGTTCACTGCATACATGTTACTACGGCGTGGCACCTCCGTGTTTGCCACTCTGTCGCACTAGCCGATGCGTTGAATCTGTCGCAAACGCTGTTGATGATACCGCTCCGGATATCTGACAACCTTCCTGTATGTGGTCCATGTTTCGCTGTCGTATAGAAGAACCGAGAACACCATAGACTTGTACACTATCAGCTTCGTACCAACGGTAAGGTGGCGATTGTTCTACACGCGTTTTTACAGTTTGCCAGACGCTGCAGCCACTTTCGATACGCGGACATGTGGCTTGCTCATCATCTGCAGATCGGTCGAAAATGCAGTGCTCAGATAGCAGAATCTCGAAGTAGTTTACAAGATGTCATCACCGTTAGTTATTCGCTGCAAATATACGGATCCCATTTCTGGTGTAAGCTCAAGAACACAGTCTTGCTTGTCATGCTGGTGAGCCCGAATTTGACCGTTGTCAAAGCGAGAGCTGAAGTAACGTGCTGCAACTGATTCGAGCTGTGTGCAAACAACGCACAGTCGTCAACAAACAGCAGCACACGGATGGCTGTCTAACACTAAAGTTTACGACCCGTAACGATAGATGTTCAGCAACCCACCATCAATACAGTGCTCCACACGAACACCATAAGCACAAGCCGCATCGAAAGCACATCATTGCATTTAAGTAAGTATTAAACGGGGCAGGGGCTTAGACACAGCCTTCCTTCACACCAGAGACAACAGTAAACTCAGCCGAGTTTTATCCACAGATCTGCACTCTCTTCAGCATACCACTGTGCA